TCGATCGATCATTAAATTTATTAAACATTGAAAAAAATTCGGGGGGGGGTTACAACCCCCTAAACCCTTGGATACACCACTCCCTATTATTATAATTTATGTTAATAATTGCTAATAATTAGTATTAAAATAAATGGCTTCGATTCTAAGAATAAATTAATATTAAGCATTGTGGATACAAGATTTAGATTTTCAAAAAAAAAAATTCGACGCATAGCTTGTATATTGTTTTTGCAGGTAACTCTTGAAAACTCAAAATTAAATCAATATACGTATCGATGCACTCCAATTTTATCCTTGAATATCTTGAATCAAGATTGTAATGCAGGGATTAGTGTATTACTTAGCCKACAGCATATAGGTAAGGAAATCATAATTAGGAACAATATAATACTATATAGTATTTATAATCAATGGTTTTATTCATTAATGTAGTTAACGGGGTCATTTTTAATGGATTGTATGGAATCATCTAATTGAAAAAACTTTTATATCATTTACTAGCCACTAGGTTCACTGTCATTAGTGGTATGTTTTCAGAATAAAAAGTAGCAATAGAAATAAACAATAGCTGTTTTCCTTTAACCCAATAACCATAAGTCGTATACAACTTACTATTGTAAGGTAATTTATGAATTAAAAAGTAATTCTAAGTTATACTTTATTATACCGAAAGTTATCTCTCATTTCTTGCTCCATATTATGTATCTCTTTATTTAAATCATTGTTTTCTTCTGTCAAATCCTCAATTTTAGTTTCAGCAGCTATTAACTTAGAACGAATCAGTTGAATGTCGTCTGATTTCACTTTAATATTCTTGTTTTTATTGAGCTCAGCTTCTAATTCATGAACACGTTGTGTAAGCATTCTTTTTTCATCACCAAGACTTTCACAAGTAGACTTCAAATCATTGATTTTTTGTTGGTGCTTCAACAACTATCACAATTAATGTTATTAAAATCTGTCTCTGTTTTATAATGTTTTGTTTTTACTTCAGAAGCTGTTGTACGAGATGTCGGAGTTATATCCAAAGATGCTAGACGTCTTAATAAAACATCACTCTTTTCTCGTTCAGCTTTCTCACATTTTGCCTTGGTCAATTTTAATTCAGCTTTTAAATGCTTTACTTGGTCCTGAAATCACACACGTTATTGCATTTTTCCCAATTAATTGGTTACTTTACTTAAATCACACACGTATATTGTTACATTATTAATGTATTATACTCACATGTAAATCTTCATCATTTATAATAGTCGCATACGTATCAGTCGTAGTATCAGAATCAGCTAAACTAATATTATCTTCGTCTTCATTATACATATCTTTATCATTTGGCATTGATTTCATCTAAAATAAATCAATTTAAAACTATAACCCTTGTGAAATTTTGACTTCCCAAGTGAATATTAACATTGTTATGATGATATTAACATGCACCGGTGTATATTGGGCGATATCTCCATTGTAACTATTTCTTGGACTGTGAACATCTATAGAATCCTTGCGTGAAAGATTTGTTCTTCTCCGAACTGTATAATTTGGAATTTCCTGTTCATCATCTAGAATRAAAATAAACATTATTATATTCAAGTATACATTTTATAGTAAATAAAAACTTTTAGAAAGATAAATTACCTTCCATATGTTCAACTTGAGATGTAACATTATCTGACAGTATTGTCAAGTCTGGTGTCGACGTCCATGATGTAGTCTTTCGACTAGGTCCACCACCTTTATCTACTTTATCATAATTTTTACYATTGTTTATCATGTATGATGCCATATTTTTTAAACTTGCCGACTCATTTGTTACCCTAAATTAATAATTATGGTTTACTTTAATATTTTCTTAGGTAACTATAAATGGTTTACAAACTCGTTATTTAAAGTAGGAGTCGATAGTGTAGTATCATCTTTTCTAAGTGAAGACTTTCCATTGTCCTTATTCCTGTTAGAATGATCTTTATAGTCCCTGGAAACATAAATAATGTTGACTGTGAGTACCTACGTCTTTAATTTTAACTATGTAAATTTTAACAAATACAATTTCAAATAATTTCAATGGACAGACAAAATATTCATAAATATAATACACTAAATATTTTTTTTTAACTTTATCGGTAGCATAGAAGAAAAATATTATCTATTTATTAAAATATTTATAACTTTTATTTTATAATGTTAATTATATATTTATGGAAGGTACCTAGCTATATTTTTATTAAAAAACTCTATTCAAATATTTAAAATAATTTAATTTTCGAAAAATTCTCTACAATACAATATAAATTGTCTTACATTAATCAAGTGTAAAATAAAACATATTTCGTGTTATAATGTTTAAACTTTAAATTATTATAAATTTTTATTTTTTGTTCCACTAGGGGCTACATACAAATTAATGTATAGTCWTTAAGGTAATTTAATGAGCAGCGTCATAATTAGTGTGGTTCTTACTTCTTAGAACTTACCGTATATGGGCATAGTCATCTAAGCATATATACCGGTCGGATGGGCCCAGTGGTGAGCAATCTGAGGGTCGCGACCCCTAAGGGGGTTACGAAATTTTATAAAGAGGTCGCCAATAATTTTACACCAAATGAAAAAGTAAATTTG